CATTGAAAACCAGCAGGGAGTACTGGACAGCCAGCTGTTTCATCGAATCGTCGGCCATAACCACCCACCACCAGGGTCCGAATCCATGACCTTCCGGTTACAAGACAAGCTGGTTCGTATACCATTCAGCCACTGGAACCCAATTCAGTGGCCAGTTCATGAATTCTAACTTCTACCAATTCGTGATTTAGCGCGACTGGCACCAACCAATGTCGTTGGTGGGACATCCATCCTCACACGTGACAACTGGATGGACCTCACTGGTCACGACTTCTCACTAGAACTGACTTCAGGAAACTCCATCCTGTAGCAAGTCACTAGCGAGCATCAGATTAATTTTCTATAGTTTGGTTTGTAAGGGTTAGTTATGTTTTTACGAGTTGATCACGGATAGTTTGGGAATCATCGGCAGTACGCACCCACTGGGATTATTTATTATTGAATTTAGATTTTCCTAGTGACTGATTGGACCGAAGTGTTCGACCCCTGTTGACATGTCGGATGGTTTGACGGTGTCCGAGGATTTAGCTCGAAGTAATTTGATGCACGGTGACTAACTAGCAGTGGAATCCAAGATGTGTACTTCCTCCGAATTGAATTCAATAACAACTGATACCCGTTGCACAAGAGGTGGTCCTCCAGGCTCAAATGCGCTAGTGGATAATGCTTCGGCATTCGAAACGATAGGTACTGGGTTTGAGCCAATCACCGACTGGGAAATGCAGGTACATCCAGGTGGTGAGTCTCAAAAATAGGACGAAATGCGCGTTTAGGATTCCACTGCTAGTCAGTCACCCTCCACCGAATCTACTTATTTTTTGTATCAAGAGTACTCCATAACAGTTCAACACTTGGAAGTGACTACCAGAAGGTTCTATGCTGCCTCTATACGCAAGATCAAATGACCAGACGACTGGAAATGATAAGCACCAAGGAACCCTGACAGGCAGCTAACCAACCAACAAACAACCTTTCATCAAATAAAGTTGCAGAAGCAGAAATAGAGATGCTTTGGACCCCTGAGTGAAATCGCACGTCAGACAAGCCCCCGAATAGGAAACGAGAAGCTGGGTGTTAGTGGGAGTGTGACAAAGATGTCGGACTGGCATTATTGCATACCCTCACTAATTGTAGCATCGTATTCCACTGCTGTGGAGGTTTAATGAGGAGTTATATGTTTCGTACGCTTTTCAAAAGAAAGTCGGCATTTAAAAGAGCTGCCTTTGTGACGTACATATTATCGGTGATATTATATCCTTGAACTGCGTAACACATTTGCTGCACTTTCATCAGAAAATGTTGTTTGACACCGATATCTCCGCAATGTGATGGATTAGACGATGCAGTATATGCAAAAGTTCAACGTATATTTTTGAATTATCATGAAATCGTACTAGTATACATTTGGTCTATTTATCGAAACGCCACTATACTCACCAGATAAAGCAGGTGGCGCCACTTCACAAAGGGGATATGCTACGTAATAGCCCACCGCTGAAGGCAATCATTTGACATAATAGAGTTGCACTCAACTAAAAATTGACACTATGGGGTAATTATAATTTCTGTATACTGCTGATTGGTTGGACACCACTCACATCTAAACACCGGAGGGTCGTTTCACTAGTTTGAGGTCAAACTCATCACTGGTGTTCCCAGTTGATTCAGACCAGACAAATAAGTCAATTCATACCACCCTGGTTGATATTACTTACCTCGAGGAATCGTTGAAATATCCTTACTATTAGCCTACATGTCAACAGAGGATGAGCATTGTGGTCGACTATAAACAATCAACACGTGGTAGTAGTCCTTGCAAAAATATCATGAATATTTTGCTTCCTTTCCGAGCGGAATATAGAGCTGTCTCAAGCTTTTAAATTTCAGTAGCAGTGGTTGCATTCCCACGGAGTGGGGCTGTTAGCCCCACACCCAACCACCTTCCCTCCTTACAGAGCTTACTACGGGTTTATTGAGGTGAAGAATTACATCGGCGGTGAATCGAACCTGGGACCACCTGCGTGGTTGGTGAGCATCCTACCGATGAACCACCGATGCCATACTTACAATCTATTCCAAGTTTATTACCTGTTCGTAAACTAGATGACATTTAAGAGTGACTTGACAGGGAATCGGACCTCCCTCCTACTCTACTCCATGGAACACCGCCATCGATGCCCGTTTAATACAATATGAATCCTAAATTACATAAAACTTGGTTATTCAACCAAATTTCACAATTTTTCCATTATTTAGGAGTAAGTCAGCTGATTAGCAAATATTCTTACCAATGTTTCGCATATGCCAGTTTACGCCGTCTCTGGCGTAGACGTGATATCCGACTATCGACCAAAGGGCGTGTGTACTGCTCATCAGTCCTCTCCGTCCTCCTTTATGGCTGTGAGACCTGGCCATTGAGGGCGGAAGACATGAAAAGATTAACTGTCTTCGATCATAGGTGTCTGCGTTCTATCTCCCGCGTGAAGTGGTATAATAAGGTAAGTAATGTTGACGTTAGGTGTAGAGTGTTGGGCAAAGAGGGAAAATCAATCGAAGAGGCTATAAAGTTACATAGATTAAGATGGTTAGGTCACGTGCTGCACATGCCTAACCATCGCCTCCCCCGACGGACGGGCATTACTAGCTGATATAGGTGCAGGTTGGAAAAGAGGAGTAAGTGGTGGCCCAACAAAAACATGGCATCAATCCATGAAATCCCTGACAGTTAAACTGAGTCAGGTAGAGAGGGAGATGTAGACTTCCGGGTTGGGGCCAGCCCTCGGGACTCTAAGAATCAATGGCTGGAGACACTAGGTGACATGGCTCAAAATCGTTGTCAATGGCTTACGCAGATGTATTCAGTCTCTGTAGTCTTTCATATTCCTTTCTACCATTACTCATTCTGTTTCACTCTTATACTTGTCAAAACTCTATTGATTCTCTTCACTCATTTTCTTGTCTACCTATGTGTGCTATTTGGAACGTGGCAACTCGAACTGCTGCACTTCGGTGCCAAGTTCTATGTTGAATCCAGAGAGACAGAGAGAGGTTCTTACCGATGAACCACCGACACATACGTCACGAGTACATAACCCCCAGGAGAGAGAAAAAAGACATCAATTATTATTTATGCTCAAAAACCACATTATTTTATTATGTAAAAAAAGAGATAAAACAAAAAAAATTGTGTTCGGTGTACACTGAGAAAAAAAGGGACCAGAATAGAATAGAAAGAAGAGAAATGTAGTAGACAAGGGATCATAAATCATGACTGTTCACAATCTCACACTCACTTAAAAATTGAAGAAATAGACAAAAAGAAGACCAGTTTTCCTCTACTAGAAAACAGAAAAACAAAGAGTGAGCGAGCGAGAGAAATCTCACAGACAGTTCACCACCACAGCAAGGAATATGGTAGAAACGAATGAAAAAAAAATTATACAGAATAAAATTACTTACAACAGAAACGGGAGAAAGAGATAAAAGAAAAAAATTACCAACGATAACAATAAAGAAGGGAAGACGCGACAAATGGGATAGAAGTAGAAGAAAGCAACCACCCCAAAATAGACTGTGAGAGGGTCTGGACACGCGCGCACAGAACGGGAAAGTCAAGCCCAGAGGTATGTAGGTGTAACAAAACAACAAAGTAGTTTAACACACTTCCCAACAACCACCTGATGATGAATAGAATACGATCAGGAGGATCAACAGATCAACACAGACACCTACACACACACACACAAACGTTAGACGAAATAGTTGACAGGGTGGGCGGGTGTTTGTGTATATTAGTAAAGAAAAGTGTTTAACGCATATACGCATATCTGTACATTTTATAAATTATCCTTATCATAATAATAATAAAGATCCAAGTGAAAAGTATTCGCCGTAGTAATAATAATAGTACTGATAATAACGCTAATAAAAGTATATATATAATAGGAAATTTACAGTCAGATAGAATAGTATAAATAAGTGGTAACAGATTATTATTATTATTACAATATTGTTGGAAATGAGGTCAGTGTAATGCATATATATATATATATTGTCTCTGCACACCCAAGAGAAGAAAATAGTAATAGTAGTAGTAGACGGGGGATGAAAACCAACCAGACTGCTGAAATAATCTCGACAATGGCTTCATTCATTCCATCATCCATCCATACTGATGGCATAAAGGTTACCGACATACATACACACACATGCATGCCTAACTACATATTTCACTAACGACTGGCGGGTGAATTCCATACGTCAGACACCATCGACTTTATATTCATCATCACATGTGTTCAGTAATAAAAAAGCAAAACAATTCCAACAGAAATGTTACTGGGGGTAGCCAACCAAGTAGGGTGTAAAGTCCAATGAGGTGAGAATATTTATACCATCATCTATCTATAGTATTAATATTATTATTATTATTACTTATTACTATAGATGAGGTTAGACAATTAAAAAAACACGATTGAAACAAATCAAAACAAGACAAAAAAAGAATACATCCGAAGAACAAAAAATGAAATGAAATTTCAACATGAATACAACCTGAGGGAGGGAGAAATTACTTGAAAATGTTAAAGAGAACAATAAATACTTAAATAGTATACATATATATACTACTGACATTAGTAGTAGTATTATTAGTAGTATAATCCTCACCATCACATTATTAGTGATGATGATGATGATGACAGGAAAACTGGAAGACAAACAGTGTATATTAAATAATCAGAGAATAGTGTGTTTGTAGTAGAATTCATATTGCACACAAAACTGTTGAAACTTGTTATTTGTACTTTTTTAAAAAAAAAAGAAATTTGAATTGGGGATATACAAAGACCACAAGAAGTGAAATAAATGCAGTCAGTCAGTAAGTCAGTCAGCCAATCAATCAATCATCAACACAGGCGCATTATATAAAACAAAATAAATGGGAACAAATAAAGAAATAAGTCAATTGATTATTTGGACTACCATCACCACCACCAGCATTAAAGACCAACTTCTTGACTACTTGTAATATAAGGCTGTGTTAAGCTGGAGGTGTTCGCAGCAGCAGCAGCTGCGGCCGCGCCGGCAGTATTCGACCCGGAACGTGTATGCGGTGCTTGTGATTGTAATTGTGACGAGGAGCTGACAACAGACGATGTTCGAAGCATACCGCCAACGCCACCACCACTCGGTGTTATCGGTCGAGTGACAGAAGGGATAACAGAAGAAGTCGGTCGGTGTGTATTCCCGCTGCTGCTACTACTATTACTATTACCAACAGAAATCTGTTGATGCATATTGGGTCGTGGATAGAGTTGAAGAACTGGAGGGGCTGCATTTGAGGAGAATGGACCAACAGGCGCTCGTCGGCGAGGAAGTGTAGCGCCTAAAGCTTGATTTACATTTCCAGTGTACATTGTTCCAGACACAGGTACCAGAGGATGATTTGAACCTGAATATTAATGAAAAGAATATATATATCAAGAGAAATATTATTAAACACACTATCAATTAGTAAGGCTTTATACCGCTCATTACATTCCCAGTGGAACACAAATTCTCAAGGTCTGAAGTTACAGTGGCAGTGGTGCGATTACTATGGAGAATTGGGGTTGCTAGCCTCATGTCCAGTCATCCACCATTCCTGGACTTGCTACTATGGGTTAGTAAACTAGAGGGATTAGGAATCCATCTTCCAGGAATCGAACCTGAGACAAGGGTGTGTTTGGCGCGAATTCCACCATTGACACACCGAAGCCACCCAGTAAGTAAAGTAGAATATCCTACAAACACACAAATAAAGACAATCCTCTCTGGGTGGATAGACATTTCACATTCTAATGAAAATAGTTTTCTGAAGTTAATCCTGATTAACAGGTCAATATTTGATCGGCTGTCCTTTATTGTATTGCTGTATTGCTCCAGTTACTTATGTTTTAATTACGTCTACTCAACAACTGTCAACTCAAGAAACTATGAAAAGCGGAGATATAGTTTGATAAGTCATTGCGAGTGGAACAATGTATCTGCTTACAACACTTTTATCTTTGTAAGTATACTTAAACTATTTTGATTCGGTCGCGTTCTCTCAGCTGGGTGATTTAACTGTATCCGTATTGACCGGTTTTGTTGACTTGGAATTTGACTTTCTCGTTACGTGTCTTATTCTCTCTTTTTATTATAATTGATAAATTTGATCTATAATTCACGCGTGTGTTGATCGCTGATTCATCGTCTGAGTTCCAGGATTCTAGGAATTGTCTGGCATTTTCATTTCGGTGTTTCCACAGTTTAAAATTTTGTACCTCATCCCAATCAACACACACACAGATCAAATACTCAACTACAACAGTAATAGTTCAACAGGGCACAAAAAGAACAAACAAAGTACAAGCACTATTCGGAAGAGCATAAACACACTGCTACACTCTAGTCCACAGAAGAATAGAATAGAACTTAAGTGTCTTCAAGAAAAATCGATACCTACACAAATTCATCGAAAAATATCTAAACTTAGATCGAACGACCAGCAAGAAAATCCGTCCTACCATATATTATAAGGAATGTTTCTGAAATAACGACTAGACTACTTAAAATACCATTCGGAATAGATATCGGAGACACACAAACCAGCAGAATCACTTCATTCATTCACTACTGTGCAGACCAAAAGACCCACACAACAGCAAAAGAAGACAAGATCAACACCATCTACAAAATAAGTGGCATGAATTGCGACAAGCACCATTTTGGTCGAAAAGGGCATCCCTTTCGACTCCCAGTTGAAGAACATAAACTAGACGTCAAAAGATACGACATGTATTCTTTCATATCAGTACGTGCAGACAACAATGAACGCCAATTTGACTGAGAAAATGTAGAAATTTTAAACAGTGAAAACACCGAAGATACCAGGGAATTTCTAAAAGCCTGGTAATCAGACGACAATCTAGCGATCAACAGATACCAGAATGCGCCAGATGACAAAAGTGTCGAATTCCAAGTCAGTAAAAACGATAAATACTGATGCCGATTAACAACTAAATATTGAAGCTTTTTCTGAAGCGGTTTTGTCTGGAAGGATAAAGAAAGCTTCTCAATTAAACCACCATCTAGCTCAGAGAAAATAATACCAAGTCAAAATCATCCATCTGAGCTACACACATCTTCGTTATTACTTCAAACCATTTGTGGAAGATTTAATTCAATTTTAAATTTTCCCGTCGATTGATTGGACCAAAGTGCTCGGTCCCAGGCTGACATGTCGGCTTCTTGTACAGATGTTTGAAACTATGGGCACTGGGTTCGAGCCTCGGTGGGAACATCATCACTCACTGAGGAATGCAGGTACGTCCAGATGACGAGTCCCAAATAGGACGAAATGCGCATCCTGTATTCCACTGCTAGTCACCATCCACCAATTAACATTTATTGAAAATTCTAAAAGACATTAAACTGGACTTCTAGATTCATTTATGCACATGTAACAAATTATATATAAGGCAATAAATTAAAATACCTTGAGAAATTTGTTGATTCGCTGTTGCAATAGTACCTGATGTCATTGGATGATAAGAAGGCATTTGTCCGGTTAAATGTCCAGAAGCACCGACGGGAGTAGACGACTGATGCTGTTGAAGATGAGAGAAATGATGAGGTTGTGGAACACCTGAATTCCCTCCACCACCACCACCACTTAAGTCTGCAACGACCACAGATGACATCCCTCCAGTCGGTAGTAATGGTGGGTGTACTATGGAATGTGGTTGGACAATTTGTTGTGACATAATATTCTGAGATGAACGTAGTGTTGGCATAACGGGAGGTGGTGGGATAGGCGGTACTAATTGTTTTGGACAACCGTTCCGTAGGAGGAATTCAGCACAATCATATTTTTGAGAACAATGAGCATAATAGAAGGCATTTCTGCCTTCATGATCAGTTACAGTTGGATCACCATTGTACTATAAACATTAAAAGGACAAGTAGAGTATAATGAGAAATAATTTATCAAAAAATTAGCAAGAATGATCGTAAGATGTGATTGAAGCATACCGAAATGGGGCAAATGATGAAGTGCCCTAGTATTCTCTTCATTTGACGATGACACCCTAACGACTACGTCACATATAGACAATTATTAATGCGAACGAAACTATTACAACGGTTATTAATACTTGCGATGTCATAATAATAACAATAAGTAACAGGAACTGGCTATTTCACTAGCTAAGCAGCATTTTGATATAACGAAGACATGTCAACTAGAAAATACCTCCACAGTCTGATTCGACCTATTAAGCGAAGTAAAAATCAGATGCTGTTTCCGATGTGTATGTCACTACTATTAACAGTTGCACTGGAATATTGCACTTCAGAAAGCATCAAAAAAATATATTAGTCAATTGTAAACATGCGGTGGCGGTGGGGATTCTTACAGAAGTGAAGGGACGAATGCAAACCTCTGGTGTTTACAAAAAGCGGGCTGCTGGACATGCAGGTCTACACTTAGGGGAACTGGGAAACCCTGATTCCAATCCTATGGTGTATATCAACTTCAGGATCCGAAAAGATCAGATAGTGCATATGAACCGGTTTTGGTCACCAAAAGCCACGGGAATACAGCTCCACTGACTTGTGGATCAGACTGTATGGCTCTGAGTGTGACCAGTAAAGGTAACCACACCCGATTCACTTCGGTTTGGGCGTCTGGACAGTATTCTAGCCCTAGCCACAAATCATGAGGTTTTGTGTGGAGCATCTCTCTTGCTGCTCAATAATAATACATGCCACTTTCATATCTTCAATAAAAGTATCATATATATTAATCCCATGAAATGACAGATTATAAACTTTAGATTATAGGAGAGATCAAAAAGACGGTTGCAGCGAAGAGAATTTTCTTTCTGACGACAACAGAAAAAACCACAATAAATATGTTTGTCCTGAAAACTGGTACAAGGAAGGAACACTCGTTTCTATTATGTGAGTGACGTATATTTCTAACAGCCCATTCGAAATGACATATACTCACAAACCAACTTTTACAGGGTTTGTTTCAGTGATATTTTGAGGCTAACTTAAATGTAGTTTAATAAGTCAACAGGGTTTAGGCACACAACTCTTAGCCAATAAGTCCAGGGTTAGAATCCACTTTAACCCGGGAAATTAGACAGCACTAATTTTTTTTAAGGTTATAGCCCAGTTAACGGATAACTGAATTCTACCAACCAAATGACTAATAACTGCTATAATTGTAATAATTGCAATAACAGAGAAGATTTGTAGCTCAGGTGGATGATTTGCAATTAATAGTGTTCTCTGAGCTGGTTGGTTTAGTTGCGGAGCTTTCGTCGTCCTTCTGGACAACATCCCCTTTCAGCGCAATATTTAGCATAAAGTGAAATGATTTAAATTTTTTCATGAGTGATGTAATTGCGTCTCCTGGTAACCATCTTTACATATGTATTGATCATTTTCTATTGACTTGGGTTTTAAACTTTCTGGTCACATGTGATTTACTTTTTATTAGTTGGTATATTTCGTCTATATTAACGTGTTTGTTAATTGCATATTCGTTTGAGTACCTACGAACGGTCTTCAAAAAGAATGGTTATCCACAAAATTTCATCAAAAAGTGTTTAAAGTCGAATCAAAACACCAACAAAGAACCATCATCAAAGAACACAAGAAAATTCATCCTACCATATATAAAAAATATCTCTGAAATAACAGCTAGAATACTGAAACCGTTTGACATAGATATAGCACACAAGCCAGTCAAATCGCTTAATTCGATATTATGCAAACCAAAAGATCCAACAGAAAAAGAAGATAAAATTAATACCATTCACAAAATAAATTGTATGAACTGTAACAAGCATTACATCGGCCAAAGTGGGCGTCCCCTTCGAATTAGAATCCAAGAACACAAATCAGCTATGAAAAGACACGATATATATTCTTTAGTATCAATGCATACAGACAATTATGGTCATCAATTTGATTGGGATAATGTCAAAATCTTAGACAGAGGAAACACCAAAAGTGCAGTCAGGGAATTCCTAGAAGCCTGGTACTCAAACGAATATGCAATTAACAAACACGTTAATATAGACCAAATATACCAACTAATAAAAAGTAAATCAGGTGACCAGAAAGTTTAAAATCCAAGTCAATAGAAAATGGTCAATACATATGTAAAGATGGTTACCAGGAGACGCAATTCTATCACTCATGAAGAAATTTAAATCAGTTCACTTTATGCTAAAAATTGCGCTGAAAGGGGATGTTGTCCAGAAGGACGACGAAAGCTCCGCAACTAAACCAACCAGCTCAGAGAACACTACTAATTGCAAATTGTAATAATTATTCTCTTCCAGAAGTGCATTACAAGTATTAATAACCTCGCCTAGTTTACTAGGTGGTCCGTAAGCCCCCTGTAAAAAAAGGGAAGGATGGACGTGGGGGTGACCTACCCTACCGTGGAAAATCAATCCAATCACTACAGAAACTTCAAGGCACTGGAGAAAAACTAATAAATAATTAACTTATTCTGCGCTGGAATCGGAGAGACAAAATATCGTAGGTTAATGAAAGCCTTCATGAAGCCAGTCAGCCGATATGTGTGTGTACTTCCAATGAAAGCAGAAATAAGCATCGGGACAAGGAATGTTAGAAGCTGTTAAGGCCGCTTAGATTACAAAAGAAATGAGAAGATATGATGACATAAAAGGACTAGACATCTGTGAGGGCAGATGGAATGGAAGAGTAAGAAGTCTACTTCGATTGGAAAACGCCAAGTAGGAAGTGGGTCTCCAGGGTGATATGAAGGAGATTATGTGAGGAATGGATGACAGCGTATGAACAATCGTAGAGCGGTGGCTGCACGTAGTTTCAGGTCATTATGGGCAATTCGCAGAGGCTTCACTAGAATCACCTCCTTATATACATCTCTGGTGAGGTCAAGACTGGAAAACAGCATCCAGGCCGCCAGTCCTTGTCTAAAAGGGGACTCAAACATTCTAGAAAGGGTTCAAAGGAAGGCAGCAACACGTATGGTTCTTGGCATGACTAACTTATCAAACGAGGAAAGACTAGACAGTTTAAATCTCTTCTCAATGTCATACCGTAGGCAGAAAGGAGATTTAATCACAATGTTTAAAATTCTAAATAATGACTACGGGGACCTGACCTATTTTCTCTTTTCCTTCCCACCAGGTAGGAACACCTTAGAGGACATAGCAGGAGAGTTCAAAAGCCAAGGAGAAATCATATTGCTGTTGAGTACTGGTTCTCACATCGAGTCATAAACTCTTGGAACCGACTCCCAGAAGAAGTGGTGTCTGCAACCTCAACTGATTCGTTCAAGAAGGGTTTGGACAACCACAGAAATTTACTAGAAAAGGATTAACATAGGCTCCAAGCCTTCTATCCTCCTCAACCAATAAATCTGAATCTGAAGCTGTTGTTACAAAAAGATTGCAGAAAACAGGACAAAGTGGAGGAGCACTCGTGTAGTCCTATGTTCTACTCGGAACCCACGGGGAATAATAATAATAGAAATAATCATTAACTTACCCATAAAAGTAATTGTAAGTAAACCAGATTACCGAGTGTAGCAGCAATGTGTATCGCTGCTCTTGGATCTTGACGTGAATAAGCTGCATTCACTGTTTCCGGCGTAGCCAGTGCTAAACACAGAATAACCTGTCGTGTATCTTGACGAGCTATAGCATCAATCAATTGTTGTTGTAATGGAGCATCAGGATACGGTAAAGGAGGTAGAAATTCTTGACGTTCATATTTTGCTCTAATCCAAATTTCTTTCTCTTCACGAGAACTTGAAGAATCAGGTTTTCTAAGGATATATAATAAATTCAGTAAATTAAGGGCCAAAAATAAGAGGAAAATGCTTAGAACGTCTTAAACAACATAAGTGTAAAAATATTATCACCACACCTCATAAACGAAATTATCATATAATGTTTAATTTTCAATAGTTTGTTTGTAAGGATTAGATTTGTTTTTACGAGTTTGACCACGGATTGATATCAGTTAGAGAGAGAACCATTGAAAACCAGCCAGGGAGTACTGGACAGCCAGCTGTTTCATCCTAGTTTGGGAATCATCAGCCATACACACCCACCGCCAGGGTTCGAACCCACGACCTTTCGGTTGCAAGGCAAGCTGGCTCGTATACCATTCAGCCACTGGGACCCAACTCAATGACCAGCCCATGAATTCTAACTTCTACCAATTCGTGATTTAGCGTGGTTCTGATATCCATGGACAAACTCGTACGGATATGTTTATTTGATTATTTAGTTTTGGAATAATTACTAGTGAACAATAACACTTATGAAGTCTCTTTATAATGGAGACCATCAAATGAGGCAAAGCTTCTTTTTGACCCCTCACATTCCACATGGAACACAAAGCTTCAAACTTGATGTTTCAGTAGCAGTGGTGTCTTTTTTGCGGGTTGGATTTCTAACTTCATGTACGACCTTTCCTCTTTTTTGCGCTTAGCACCGGCTATATGCGAGGGTTTAAGAATGCGTCAGCCATGGGATCAAACTCCGGAGCATGTGCCTGGTTGATAAGCATTCTGCCAGTGAACCGCTCTGTTAATAAAGTAACTGTTGGCTATAAATTGCTTTAGAAAACACAGTTTATATTTTTTTTAAACGAAGTGGATGAACAGAAAGAAGTTGGCAAAACAATATTAGAAAGACAAAAAACATTGTGGCATTTATCTTAGTCAATGTAAAAACAGGGATACGATAAATTAATAAATATGAATCAATATGGTTACTAGGATTCTGTAAAACATGCATTTTTCTTCATCTCTTTGAGTTCCAAATGGAACATAGGGCTTCAAACATTAGGCTTTGAAGTTTCATTCAGGCCGTGGGTATTGTCTTTTGGGAGATGAGATTGCTAGCCTCATCATTCACAATTAAACTTCCCTATTTTCTAGGTTTATTATAGGTTAGGCGAGATTTAGGAGTGCGTCGACGGGAATCGAACCTATTCCACGTGACTGGCTAGTGGAAATTGTACCTTTGAACCACCAGAGTACACATAACAGGTATATAATCGCCTAATAATAACAGCCAAATATTTAGGCCAGAAATGATTGCCATTTCTTTCTAGTTCCCACTGACGTTTCAACAATAAGGTCATTTCACTTAATTCTTTTATAAAAGATGGAGGCAATCAGTAGTCAGTTAAAATGAACAGATTTTTCACGTACAAAGCTGGAAATCATGCGAATAGTGTGTGAAGCCTAATGATACTATCTAGGCATCCAGTCTGAAACAGGCAGAGCAGGTTTATTAAACCAAAATCTCTATTGTATGAACTCAAAATATAGTAGTCAGTAAGCCATAATATCGACATGCATATAGCATACAATTGCGATCGGATCTAGAGAACAATTATAATTTCATGCTTTCGACCTCAGATGTTTGCATTCTATCTCTAGTGTCAGAAGTGGTAGAATATAGTGAGCAATATTGAGGTTAGGCGTAGAGTATTAGGTAAAGTACGTAAATCGACCAGATGAAGTAGTATCGATTCAGATGGCAACGACACGTGTTTCGTCAAGCCATCGACTTCCTTTCTCGTTTGACACTGTTAGCTAACACCAGATTGATTTGAAAAAGAGTTAAGGGTGATCATATCAAATGATGCCAACGATTCAAGAAGTCTTCAACTGTTTGATTTGAGCCACATTGAAAGATTTAGACCAACTGTCTGAGTTTAAATCTAATCATAAAAGTACTGAGTAGGCTATTGTATCTGTACCGTGTGGTCGTCGAGTTTAAATACTTCTATATTCAGAGTTACAGTGACATCCAATCAGATTTCAGTGAATGATAATCAAGGTCAACATTGTAGATATATATGATTGATTATGCAACAGAAGAATTGATTTCAATGAATAAAAGACGTATAACTGCCACAAAAGCTATAAACGATGTTTTTGAACCCCATGAGACAGATTTCCAGAGAGTATGAGTACAAAAAGCAAAAACAGCTGTGTTTCAGGTATTATTATCATATATTGTTTACTTTAGTTCATAGAGGAACATAGGGCTTCTTAATATATGTGTAAAACTTGGGCACTGTTTCACTGTATGATATATCTAATAAACAAACTAATATGCAATAACATAGGGCTTCAGCCGCACGTCTCCATTGCGTTCGGCTCTCTGCCAACGTTTCCCCCTGGCTGCTAGTCTACTCACATCCTTTCATCTCTTCACATGACATCCTCCATGTAAACCCACTCTCGCACTGAAGACCAACTCGCCGATTCCCATTCGGGTTCAACTTGAGCAACGGCCTGGCGTGTGATGTCACTCACTTGATGGTTTTCCCAGAGTATGGCCAATCCAGCTTCATTTCTTCCTGCGTGTTTGCTGCACAATCGGTTCCTGCTGTGCAGGTTTGCTCTCAGAGATCCCTGTTGCTCATCTTTTCTGGTCGGTCATCTGATCTTGAGTGGTATTAAGCGAAAACAGCTGTTGGTGAAGGTCTGTAGTTTGTTAGAAGTACCCTTCGTGATGCTCCAAGTTTCTAATCCGTATAGTAGCACTGACTTCACATTGAAGTTGGAAAACAGGATCTTATTTTTCATGCTTAGGAATGCTGTTGATCTCCACACAGACTTGAGAGAAATGAAAGCTTGCCTTGCTTTCTCCGATCCTTGCTTTGATATCCTCATACGTTCCATCTGCCTATAGTTGAGAAGATGCTTCCCATGTAGGTAGGTGGAGGACTTTTTAAGATTTTTCACATTTATGCTGATTGTTGTCTGTTTTTATTGCTGTTGCTTTTGGCCAGGAACCTTCATCACTTCTGTTTTCTTTGTGTTAACCTGAAGTCCTATCTTCTCTGGATGCTTCTTCTGCCAACTTGTTGCTTTTCACTTGCATATCTTCCAGTTTGTGGGAAATCAGACATATATCAACAGCGAAGTCCAGATCCTCCAAGTATTTTGTGTGGGTCCATTTTATGCCTGTTTCCTCGCTGCCCACCGCTGTCCGTCGCATTGATCAGTCTACTGCAATCAGGATAATCATTGGAGTTAGTATGAGTTAATCTAAACAGATCACTTTTCTTATAATTACTGTTCAGCACAAGGAGAAATCAATAATAGAACTATCAACTTGTAATATCGTATGTAGTACAACAATCAACAGTACATACCAACTCTCAACCTCTCTTGTCGGCATTTACGTTATCAAGCAGGCAGATTAAATAGTAGGTTCATCAGATATTTGGTTTTCAAAAGTAAGCATATGTGGAGCTTACCGTCATGAGGTACTTAAGCAGCATATAACGAATCGCCTTAAACAATTACCACCATCCATCTACCAAAATAAGCTTTTAAATAAACAAATAAAACCATGCTAAACTGCTTACCGCCGATTCCCTGCATTTACAGGTACTGCAGCTTCCCAAACAGAGTTAGCCAATGTATTCCCAATAGCACCCATCACAGCGACAGATTCCGTTGACCATTCATCTAAGTGTAAAGAACGTATCCGTGAAATATGCGTCCCCAACTGTCGATGTATACCACTGCAACTGATACAGACCATAGCGCCTAGATTTAAACTTGCCCAATCTGGTTCTGAAACACATTTAAAGAGAGATGAAAACATCTATCAATAATAATTTGCAGAAGATAACAGATTAAAGTATATAACGAAATGGTAGAATTCATGGGCCATTTGGATCGGGTCTCAGTGGCTTAATGGACTACGAGCTCGCCTCGTAACCGGAAGGCCCTGGGTTCGAACTCCGGTGGGTGCGGACTGATGAAGAGCCACAGAGTAGGACGAAACAGCTATCCAGTAGTCCCCTGCTGGTTTTCCAATGGTTCTATAAATGGTGTCAACTCGTCATCAGTCCAGTAACCGATTAGTTATAAAATAAATATGTAGAGGATAAACTGAATGTTAGCCATAACGATGGGTATTTATTGCACTCAGCACAGAGAACAAGACTCAGTTCGGAATAAGTGAGTTCTTCTATAGGATTCAGAGACCAGCTAGAAAGAATTAGCATCGAGGAGCTTTAGTAAGGAAGCAGCTATGAATCTATCACTTAAAAATTATCCCGAGGGAAATGGAGATAGATTGGACCGTTGAGTGACATCATATGGCAGGTACTCGAGTGGAACCTGAATAGGAAACTACCAGTTAGTTGGGCGTCCTAGTCTAACGACAAAAGACAAGGGCCAGATCGTTTATTGAGAAAATCAAGAGGTATTTATAGATTTTTATGTGTATTATTATTGACGCTATTGTTAGCGGAGAAGCCACCTCTTCTGATTGGTTATTTTCCTGCTGAAAGTTATTCTGTTCTCTCTTGTGGCCGTTTCTCAGAAAATCAAGTCATATATCTGTGAATCATATTCCCACATTTCAACACCACTGTGACTGTCTGGTGATTTTCTGAAAGTTAAGCTTTGTTATTGTTTTATTCTCATGACCCTGATTTGAGATGTCAATAGCATGAGATGGAAAAGATTATGTGGAGAGGAAATGAGAGCTAATGGGTTATGGTGGAACCGGCTAAAAGCTAAAAAGGATTGCAGACGACTGGATGAAATGGAAAGGTACTGTTAAAGTCCTATGTTCCATTAGTAACCCAAGGGGATAAGACTACTAAGCGACAATGGTCTTCAATGAAACTAAGTGCGGGTGGATTATAGAAACGGCCATTTGAAAGTTCCATCTCAGTGGGTGAATGATGAACACGATGGACTGATCACCCGAAGATCCCGGGTTCCATTTCCGTAAGGGACCTTAGGTGCATACTGTTGAAGATTCACAAATTAGT